GGCTCGAGGGGAATGGACTAGTCGAAGGGATTTACCGTCCTTCTTGACGACACAGAACCACCGCGATCGATACGACGAGTTCGATGGCTCGTAGACTCCGGCGGCGATCTTTCGCTTGATCACCGCGCAGACCTCGTTGTAGATCCCGGGCGGAATGGGGATATTCTTCTGCACCCAGGGCGTGTGAGGAACGACGGGGAAATCGACGGGAGGGAAGTACTCGGGCTTGAAGCATCCGCGCTCGTCGTCGGTCCAGGCGAAGGCTTCTGTCACGAGTTGGCACGGCGCCTAGCCGTTTTTTAATTTTTCCTTTTCGCGGGTTCGAACCCGCGACCTCTGTACTACTTGCCTGATACGGACGCATCATATCTACTGTACGATTAGATTAGATGGGGCGGCAGCGCACGGCACAGCTCGGGCTCCGCTGACACAGCCGCTTTGACTCACCGGCCCCCGGGGCCGCGTCGGCATGCTGTGCACGGACCAGCTGCGCACGGACCAACGCGCACAGCCTGCCCTAATCTCCCCATGTATATAAACCGGCCTCTGCTGCCCTAGGGACCTCAGTTTCGACCTCTTGTCCCTAGGTCAGTAAGCTCTTATTTGTATCCTTTACTTACCCTTACTGACTAATACATTTTCTTGTCCCTAGCCTTAGGTTTGAGCCTCGCTCACCATCGCTTCGGTGAGAACCAGTCGGACGCCCCTCGCTTCTAGGTATTCCCCTGTCGCTTGACCTCAAGTCGCGACATTAGGTCAAAACTCTCCCAAGCGACCGGCGTCCCTTCAGGACTCCCACTGCTCATATTCACTTCCTATAGGTTGGGTGGTGCGCACCCTTACTGTACCCTACGATACCTAGATAGCGTACTATACATCGCCACCACTTAGGGAACGAACTCTTCAGTACCTGCACTTCAGTGGGCGGTACTTGTCCTCACGGACGCGTGGCTTAGGTTCCTGCTGCATACTAGCCAAAAGCAGTACTGGGCCCCACGTGAACTGCGAACCCTAGTGTTACCTCGGGCGCCGTAGGTGTAAGCTAGCTAGCACGGCCTTTCGTAGCACGCGCACCTCCCCTTCCTCCCCCCATCAACGTGGCTGACGAATTCTTCGACTGCTCTCGACTTGAGCACGCCTTCGACACCCAGGATCAGGTCGACGTCTCTCGTGACGACCCAAAGAGCAGCGAAGACAGACCTCCCTTCTTCATCTGTGATCGGCAGCCGTGCCCTAATTGCACTCCACGATCCATCACTGTTGACGAAGGGCACTTCGTACCAATCCGACGAGTCCAACACCCCCACGGCCCTGCACTCCGGTACGCTGGCACCTCGAGATCTACATCTCGCCACGTCACTCCCGTCCCATCTCGACCTGCCTCGCCAGGCACCCGCATCCCCCAACCTGTCGCCAGTACAGGTCAAGCGCGAGGAGATCCCCATCTCCCTCGAGGAACTGAGGCAGTCGCACAGCCTACAGCGACCCCTCAAGCGATCCCCCAGTCCTCCCTGGGGCCGCGGTTGGAAAGGCCTCCCAAGACCGAGCCCCGCGACACTCCGCCGCATTCTTGGGCCAGCTCGTCGTCAGTGGTCACCGCCTCGACTTCAGTCCCTGTCCTACGTCACCCCGCCTCCGGACTTCCTCAACCGGCTTCACCACCGTCGCCGCCGCGAGGCCGCTCAAGCACTCGCTCCTCGAGAAGTCCGCCCGGCGGACAGTCACAACAGTCACCTTCGTCCGCGGGCAGTCCTTCGTCCCCCTCGTCGCCGATAATGTCCTCTCCCGCTGCCGTCCCCGATAAGGAGACGTTGAAGCTCCTCCTCCCGCTCCGATACGATGGGAAGTCGGTGATTGAATGCAACCGCTTTATCTCGCAGTTGCTCAT